GGGGTGTAATGTGCAACCATGAGAGTGGGTTTCAAAAGATTATTATTATTGTCATTAATTCTTAATTCGAGCACGCCTACAGTAGTTAGATTATGTAAGTAAATATATTACATTGTCGGTAAACGTAAAGTATTGGTGCAAGTTTAATTTAGTGAAAACAAAATTTGTAAAAGTCTAATTTACCCTTTTGATTTTTGTTATCAGTAATTTCCTTTTTTTGGGAAGGGCTCCATAATACTCTACAATTACCACATTGTCATTACACCACAATTTGAAAGGATAATTTCCCCTTTCCCTCTATCCTGGACACCTCTGTAAGTTGGACACATTATCGTGGAACCTCAAGTGTCCAAGTTAGAGAGGTTTTACTGTACTATTTAAAAACCCAGTGCTTAGTTTAAAAAGAGAAAGCATATACGTCACATTAGTTGGTTAATGCCCTAATGTTGGAATATAATGGCTGATTCTTATTCTGAGAATCGTACTAAACCCGTAGCACTAAATACACCCTGTGGGTATAATATAAAGTTATTTAATATTAAAGCCTTTTTTTGAAGAAAGCTATTACAGTGGTTTAGATGGTTAATGGTTGGAACTGTGTTAATAGACGCACATCGACTCGTAAAGCAAACGAAGGATAAATGCAATGGATGCTGTACATCTTTCTAAATAACCTGAGCCTCTAATTTTCATTAATAAGGTTAATTATCTGTTTGAAAATAAACCAATGCATTAAATGTATATCAATGTTACGTAATAATTGAAGAATACCTTTTGAATTTGTGCAAATGTTCGAAATTTAAATGTCACAGCGATTAGCAGTGAAATATTAATTTATATATTACGTTTGAAAACAGCGAGTAATTATTTAACCGTTATGAATAGAGTAATAGCAATTAAAATAAGTAGATATTTTATTTTTTATATCGTACTTTATTAGTCATTGTGAAGAGAGCGTATCTTGCCCGTACTAAGTGTTGTGACCATATTTCTGTGTTTCTTTGAATTTTAATTACGAAACGCTGAGAGATCACGTCTATAGGAACCAAATGATGGGTTATGTGTAAACCATTGTCTATCACTGCAGTTTACGGTGCTGATTGATGCTTTTGACTTGATACTTGGTTCCCTTCGTGTTTACTTGTGCGGAGTGACAAAAGAAGTGTGATCTAGTGAAGCGAATCAGTGGTTCTTTTCCTCGACGAATAACAGAGATTTGCGCCGTGGTCCAGTCTTCTGAATCGCTGTGTTGTGACAAACAATTACATCTGGTTATAAAGAGTGACATCTTCAGTGTTTATTACGTGTATTGTGGGCATGATAGTAACATTAAACACTGCTAAAGGGGGAAGCAGAGCTTAAAACGTGAAAAAAACATTTTGACTATTTTCTCGATTTCGCAAAGTATACACAGATAGGCCTATATGAAAATCCACGTGCAACATAACACTAAGAGAAATCGTTTGGACGTTATTAATTTAATGGTAAGAAAGTAAGGGAGACATAAATAACTTGATTTGTATGTTAACTGTACTGATATTATCTACCGTATTTTAGTTTAAGGATTTTGACAACTGATGGTTTTGTGGCTTGAGATGTTAGAGCACGTTTTGATACGTGTCAATTGCAGAATCGGTAGATAACTTTCACTGAACGTAAGACGTCATGCAGACTTCGGTTGAAAGTGTGGCATAGTCCCCGTGTTACTTCCACGATGATAATGGCGTAGTATAGTCTTGGTCGCTTCACGAGTGCTGCATAGGTCATAATCCACGACGTATTAAGTGCCCATCATGATATCGTGTTTGTTGTAGACTTTTATGTCCATTACCTGTGTATTTTTGTTAATTAATTTGTTCTGTGTTTAATGCTACTCAACGTAGAAGTCATGTTTAAGACTCCAGTTACTACATAATGTCTGTAATCAGTGGACTTGATATTTAGATCTGCGCAACTGTAAATGGTGCTGACATTGAATGGAAATTTTAAGAGCAATGCGCTACGGACGGAAGACAAGTTTTACAGCCCTGTAATCTACTGGATCTAAGGTTGGCAACCTGCCTTCCGCGGGTCGCAAGTGACCCTTGCATCATTTTTGTTGCGTTCCATCAAATGATTTTTTAATAGCCATCGTGACAAACGCAGAAATGTTTTTTGTTAAGAAAAAATATTATATGTATATGTAATATATAATCATAAACGTAAACAGTCAAAAAAGTATTTTAATAAAACATATAGACCTAGGATTACAAGTTTTGTAGATGTAAGCCTATAAATTTACAGTTGCGTTATTGATAAAAGGTACATTCTTACGTTGTTTAAACCATATGAAATTTAGAAAAACAATATGAAGATTCTTTTGTGTAATAATGTAGACAGTGAGAAAAATTCTTTTTCTTTAATACTCGCAGTTAAAGAGACGCATTTCTGCTTACTGTCCGTGGCATTATTAATTTCATTACGCCGCCCTTGACAAAGACATAACTAGCCAATGAGATTCACGGT